TCTGCACATACAGCTCTGGCTTTTAAATTGCTGCTTCTGCCACTCAGCTGTGTGCCAGAGGGGCAAGGACAAGTGAGAGGGGTAGAGAGCCAACAATGCAGAGGCTTTTCCTAGCCAGGCTACCAGCCCCTCTGGCTTCATCCACACCACTCAACTGGCCTGGAGCAGAGCAGGGGGAAGCAGGCTGAGGAGTCTTGCCACCACAGTGAAATGACCCTGTCTCACTGCATTGTTGTAGGTCAGCCCAGAGTAGCATGGAGCAAGGCAGGCTGCTGTGCCCCTGAAGCGTTGCTGCTGTAGCTGAGTGCTCCCTTCCTCTCTCTGCACTCATTCTACTCAGCCTGGAGGACTGCACTCCTCCAGGCTATTCTGCAAGGGAGAACTGGGATGGTTCCCACCATGGGAAGATGCCCTTCTCCTGCCAATCAGCTAACTGCTGGGATGGGGTGGGGGGCATTTTCTCAGGGTGGAAATTCCTCCCCCACCTCCCACTGTCTGCAGCAGCTGCCAATTGCCACTGGACAGTCTTCCCCCTTCCCAGGCAAAAGAGCAGACAGGCTATCAATGGAGAGTTACCTGTGAAGCCCTCCATCCATAGGACTGGATGAAAGTCTATATAGTACAGCTTCCAGGCTACTTTTCTACTGGAATAAATTTCTTCCAGTAGAAATGAACATCTGTAAACATCCCAAAACCTTTAAAAAAAATCACAGTACAGTTTAAGTATGGTAATGTGAATGGACATATTTTGTATTTCCAGAAGATGCAAGAAATATCTGGACATATATGCAGGGCTTCAGAAATAAAGAACAGTTAGTGAAGTCTTTTCACAATGAACAAGCAGTAACTATAAAAGTGTGAAGTGCCATGTGTATTCCATCGCAAAAAGTGACAGCAGCTGATTTCAGACATCAAATAAAACTTTAAAAATGTGTGAGCTAACTTATAATTAAGTGGTAATTCTAGGTAGTCATGTACATTAAATCTGGATTAAATTTGAAGTGTTGAGGACAGATTTTCATAAATATGGGCATGGATTAGCCATACGATTTCCTTACACAATGACTCTGCATGCAGCCTAACTGGTCATTTGCATATACAAACCAGTGACTTCACATTTAATTCTGGTAGCCACATGCCTGTTCAGTCTTCTGAAAATATCTAGCCTCTAATTTCTTGCTCAAGGGGCTGGTTAAACCTGGAAGCACACCAAAGATCTAGTTCTTTACAGACAGAAGTCTCAACGGCCTATGAAGAATTATCTTATGCTTTCTTCTCACAAAATCTGATAAAAGCTATATTAATCCTTCACGTGATAACCTGTAGTAATTACAACTCTTTTTAGTTGTTTACTCCCAGTTCTACCCTGCCAAAAGGGGTAACAACCTGACAGAGCGACACTGACGGTACCAGTTCGTTATTACAAGAGAAAACATAGCCTCCTTATGATTCAGGCATACCACTGGGAAATTTAGAAAAAAAGTCATGGCTGTTGGTTTTAAATATTTGAACTTTTTATAATCTTACTGATTTGAGATCCATCCATAAGTTGTGTAAGATCAGAGGAACAGAAAGCTGAGGAGACTGTCAAGCAAGTAAATCTTTGAATGTTGTCATTTGAATTTAGTCCAGACCAGTGAAAATCATAAGTATTTTGTAAAGTAATTTACTTTTCACTGTCTTTGCCATTTACTTGCTGCTTTCCAGTATATTTCACTCTCTTTCCTATTTACCTGTGGCAAATCAATGTAAAGCATGTCTTTCTCTACTAGAATATAGGTCAGTTTAATTATTCGTCCAGGGTAATATATAAATGGAATAAGGACCATTGATTTGCTTTTTTTTTTTTTTTTTAACTAAGAAGTTAATTATACACCTATTTGAAATTTATTAACAATTTTCAAACTTTTTTCATTCTGTCAAGTAATGTTTCAGAAAGTTTAACAAATTAAATAGGGAGGTTTTTTTCTTTTTTTTAAATTCATTGTCACTGTTTCAAAGCCATGGGTTTGCATTGTCAGAGACCACAATGCTTTTCACAACTGCTATTGTTTAAATCATGAAGGGAGAGATCTGGTCACCTTTATAAAATGCTATAAGGAAGACCAGGAGCTAGAGAGTATAGGTATCATCTGATATAAAAATTGATACATTTTTAAAGTAGGCATTTTGCAAGACTTCCTACTAAGAGTTCTGCCAAATGATTAATTTTCCTCTTTATTATCTTCACGTGTTCAAGATCCTGCAGTTTACAATGAGGGTGACAGAAAGCAGGATAACACAACTGTTTTGGCAGTGCTCTCTCAATTTTCTAAATCTCTGTGGGAAAGTTCAATTCTAAACCTCACTGTAAGGAAATCTCTGTTGAGTTGTGATACCTTGGAGAGAACAAAAAAAGTTGCTAAAGATGGTGAAGAAATACCTACTATAAATATCTTTTCAACTCTGGCCAACTTGCACATACAATATGTCACAAAAACCTATATAAATAGCTTAGGTATCCCTTCATATGGCCCCATCAATGTAGTGTCAGAACACATATTTAAAAGGAGAAATCAGCAACCTCTCATTTCTTTTCTATTTAGAAAGCAGGGTAACCCAAGTCAATGGGCTGACCTTTACATAAAATAAATGGGCAATTTAAGGTGTTGTGTTTTAAGGATGTTTAATATAATTCCAGCAGGAAGTAGTTCATATAGTAGGAAGCAGTCCCTAAAAGTTCACTGTACTAAGGGGTGACAGATCAGAGGGAGACATATAAAGAAGGAAAAAGAAATGGGGAGACTGACTTGAAAGAGGAAGAAATAGATCAAAATGATTAAAGAAAAGAGACGAACAGTAATTTTTTTCCCATGTAAGACACTATTACATTTAAGGTTGATCCTGACTCAGTATCTCTTCTATATACTCTTTTCCTCCCCTTAGCAGAAGTCCAGAAAAATTCTGAAGTCCTGAGTAACTGCATAGTTGATATTTAAAATTATCTTTAAAAGATTAAGATTCACTGACAAATTCTACTAGACTGATTTGCTGTTATTAGACGTTGGATTTGAATGGTATAAATTGGATTTGAATTGGATTTCTTATTATTGACACATTAATCTGCCAAATTTTAGAAAGCCATTTATTCTATTTAGCTTAGCAGACATTTAACAATTTTTTAATTGCCAAAAACAAATAAAATGCTTTGTTAGCATGCATCTTGGATATGTTAATTTTAATAGTTAACAGTCCCATACATATTTGGAACTATTTATATTTACAAGGAAAAATGTTATGCATGTGCAAAATATAAAATTTCTTCTTAGAAATTCTCTTAGCAGAAATACTAAAAATTTAATTGCCACTCTGAAGGATTATGCAACATGATACATGCTTCTCACAACCACTGATGAGCACCAAAAATGTTAAATGGATAAAATACATTAAATATATTTTCAGAACAAGCTCTTGATTTCATTATGTCATACTGTTCCTACTTAACCTGCTGCCCCATGCTCATAAGGATGTGAACAGTAGGGGTGTGCAAAGTGGGCTGTATCCAGTTTGAATTCAGCCCGATTCGGGGGACAGTGATATGATTCACTGATTTGGATCACTGTCCTGATTTGATTCGGCCGAATCTGAAGATTTGAGGGGCTGCATCTCCTCGGAATCAAATCAGCGACCAAAGCTTCACACAGCCCTAAACAGGCCTTTTTCTATTTATCACAGAGATATGTATACAGGTATAGAGGACAGGTAAATATTCACTGTATGCCAAAATGCCCTTTGCTCAAGGACATATTGTGCAATGTATCTTGGTCCTTACACAACACTGATCATCACTGTATATAAAAGAAACATTTAGATGCAGACATGTAAATAGTTGATATGTTATAAAAAGAATATTAAAATTGAATATTGAATATTTTGGCCCACGTATATCATAGAACCATAGAAGCAGGGTCGGAAGGGACCTTGTAGATCTTCAAGTCTGACCCCCTGCCCGGGCAGGAGAAAAACTGGGCTCAAATGACTCC